ACTAGCGGATGTTGTTGGGTGCCCAAAAGCGTGCAATTTTGAGCCTTTGGAGATTCTGCTCTGTTCGCGGCTCATCGACATACCCGACCAGTATGCCATAGTCGGTGTCAGTTGCTTAGTACTTTCAATACTCCCTGTAGTCCCTGACACCTAGAAAAGGAGGTCCTAAACAGACTCCAAGCTTCAGCTGTACACTAAACCTTCAACAGGCAATCTGCAGCCCCGAGATTCAGCAATTGTACCTCAAAGCCTGATGAAGCTGTAAGCCTTAAGTTCCAAACCCCAAAACCTTTCAAACCCGCAACCCATGAAACGCAAAACCCAAACCCCAAAACCCGAAGCTAACATTCGATACCCTATGCCCGGGAAGGATGTAAACAACAACGCAGCTCGCAAGATGGGATTTGGGAGTTTCCGAAAATAGGGGACCCTAATATAGTACCCGAAATAGTAGGATCCTTACCCCAAAATAAGGTACCTCTATTTTCGGAAACTCCCATTTCATGAGCAGGTAATTGGGTTATGCGTACAGGTGCTCCTGCTCATAACCCACTTACTGACTAAATCCCCCTGATCCTTCTACTCCTCCCGCTGCTGCCGCTGCGCTACCACCGCCACTACCACTTACTACGACGACAACGACGACTACTGCTACCACTAGTACTAGGTTGAGGTCTAGTGCTAGTACTGGACTAATACTCGCACGAGCAGTGCGTTTACTAGTACCGGTGCTAGTACTAGTACCAGTATAGTTCCAGTACTAGCCCTGGTACTGGTGCTGCTGCAACAACAACAACAACCAGTCCGACTACTGCTACTGCTCCTGCTGCTACTTCTACTTCTATTTCTACTTCTTCGATTGCAACCGTTGCACATTGCGACAGCATGCTTTTATCAGGCCGGCGCGCATGCGAGCAGCCGCCGCCTTCGCCGTCGCTGCCGCAGCGCCGCGCGCTGCCCTGGGCCGAGGCTCCGGGTTAAGGCTCCTTCAAAGGATCTATAAGGGTTTCTATTAGGGTAGTATAGGGTTTAGTGTTCCTTTAAGGGATCTATAAGATGTTTAGGATTTAGGGTTTTCAAAGGGTGCTGAGAGGTTTTTTAGGGTTTAGGGATAAGTTTCAAAGAGGGCTGGCCGAGGGTATCTGCTATGGCCAGATTCAGGTGTTTAATTAAGGTCAAGAGTCAAGAAACCACAGCCACCGAAGTTGTAATATGGATCCTATACCATTCTTGAACAAAGATCCGAGGGTTGACAGAAATGTTCTTGTACATGCGGAACCCGATCTGGAGTACTAACCACATCCCCTGACAGTCCCTACAGTTATGTTGTAGAACTTAGGCCCCTTAAACATTGCTGCAATGATTCGACAATCCTTTTGGTGGTGTTGCCTACAATCTAAACTAAGGGACAGTTTTTTTTGGATTCCCTAGCCTTCGAAGCACCAAAACCCAAAGCAATCAGAAGTTCAGACTTTACAGCCAAGCAATCCCTAAACCCTAAGCCCTAAACCCCCAAACCCTAAAGCCTCAACTCTCCAAGAACTGAAGCCTTTTTCCCAAGTCAGACCCCGAGGCTAACAAACCTCAAGCCAAAAACAATTCGTAAAGCTACGGTTGATGATAGAAATCCTGCATTACCATTATGAACCCAAACTATGGGAACTATGGTATATTCCTGATTAGGGGTCTGCAGGATGTATATCATCAACCGTACGTAGAGCCTGTTTCCCAAGTCCTAAACCAAGAAGGTAAGCTACTTGGAGGATCATGGGACTAGGGTTCCCTTCAAGGGGGCCTTCAACAGGTGATCTTGGGGTTAAGGGTTTAGGGATCTACTTGGAGGATCATTATGGGACTTAGTAAGTAAGGTTATAAGTGCCTTAGTTGGGGTTAGAGGTAACTATAAGTTTAACTACCTGATTTTATAACCTTAGGCACTAAGTCCCATGATCTTGAAAAACCCTAAACCACTATTGATCCCCTTGTAGAACCCCTTCAGAAATCCTTGAGGGAACCCTTCAAGTTGCTGAGTCCCATGAGAGCCTGCGAGGAGGCAGCCAAAGACGCTGCCGACGCCTAGCCTGTGCATCTGGGAGTAGGCGAGCCAGGGAGTGAGGTCTGGGGTTCAATAGGTTTAGGGTTTCATGGCGTTTTTGGGGTTTGGGACTTAGGGTTAAGTAGGTTTAGGGTTTAATGGTGTTTTATGGCGTTTTTGGGGTTTGGGACTTAGGGTTAAGTAGGTTTAGGGTTTAATGGTGTTTTATGGCGTTTTTGGGGTTTGGGACTTAGGGTTAAGTAGGTTTAGGGTTTAATGGTGTTTTATGGCGTTTTTGGGGTTTGGGACTTAGGGTTAAGTAGGTTTAGGGTTTAATGGTGTTTTATGGCGTTTTTGGGGTTTGGGACTTAGGGTTAAGTAGGTTTAGGGTTTAATGGTGTTTTATGGCGTTTTTGGGGTTTGGGACTTAGGGTTAAGTAGGTTTAGGGTTTAATGGTGTTTTATGGCGTTTTTGGGGTTTGGGACTTAGGGTTAAGTAGGTTTAGGGTTTAATGGTGTTTTATGGCGTTTTTGGGGTTTGGGACTTAGGGTTAAGTAGGTTTAGGGTTTAATGGTGTTTTATGGCGTTTTTGGGGTTTGGGACTTAGGGTTAAGTAGGTTTAGGGTTTAATGGTGTTTTATGGCGTTTTTGGGGTTTGGGACTTAGGGTTAAGTAGCCCTCTCGATCCGGCGCCTTCAAAATATAAGGTCATTAGCGTGTGACTACAAAATCCTGGGTCATGATACCATTTTGCGTCGATGACCTTGGATTTCGCCTACATTTGCGTAGCCTGGTTTTGCGGCATTTATGGTGCCATAATTGGGCCATTTATGGTGCCATAATTGGGCCATTTATGGTGCCATAATTGGGGTCATATTATATATATATATATATATATATATATATATAATATATATATATATATATATATATATATATATATATAACATATATATATATAATATATAAAAATATATATATATATATATATATGTATATATATACTATATATATAATATATACATATATATATATATATATATATATATTATAGCTATATATATATGTATAAATGCAGATATCACGACGACCGACGACGACGAGGACGACGAGGAGCACGCTGAGTACGAGTACTTATAAAAGCTTGCTATATATATATATATATATATATCGTATGCAAATTCCGCTATTATATATAGCCAGGGTTTTGGGGTTTAATTAGGGGTTTAGGGTTGTTGACCATTCCGGCCAAGACACAGATGCTGCCTTCTCGGTGTTCGCAGGGTGTTTAAAATTTATATACGTTAGGGTTTATATAGTTTAGGGTTTTTAGGGTTGCTGACGTTCCACGCCAGATCCTCGCAGCGAAGTACATAGAGCCCTAGGGATTTAGGGTTATTATAACGTTTAGGGCTTATTATATTTAGGGTTGCTGACCTTCCACGCAGGCTTGCAGCCTTGTCGGGGTGTAGGTGCATTTTAGGGTCTAGAGTTTTAGGGTTGCCGACCCTTGTGGTTCGAGGCTTGCAGCCTTCTCGGGGTTTCGGGCGTTTAGGATTTTAGGGTTTATGCTTTACGGCACTTTTACTTATTAGTTCCGGTCCCGAGGCTTGCAGCCTGCTCGATATTAGTGTGGTTTAAGGAAAACAAGCCCTGGAGCCCTGCATACCCCAAACTCGCCCATCCTGAAAGCAGCACCAAACCTTCAACCCCTATACTTAAATTTGTAGGGTTTGTTCGACGAGGTTTTAGGTTCGCCGATCCCCGTACTGGAAGGCTGTCTGAAACCCAAATTTAAATAATGCAGTCCGAGGCACCCAAGATCCAAAACCCGGCAGGGCTTGTTAATTCGGAGGATTCATGATCAGGGCAGCTTGATAAGTTAACGAGGGTCCGAGTAAGGGCGTTCTGACTGGGCAAAAGTGCAGGCTTCAGAGGGTTATGTAATTACTCAGGTTCTTCATGTTCGGGTCTATTCAGCCTAACATGTACACCTTGGAGTTCCGGAGCTCGGGTTTTTGCTTAGCCAAGCGAGACTGAAATTTAAAGGGCTTCATCGAAGCTTCTAGGTTTAAGGGTATCTATTTACGGGTTCCTCAGTACAAGCACAGTGGGTTTTAAGGCATTTTAATTGGGTCATTAGGGATGTCATAAATTTGTTGCTTATCGGGTCTCGTTCGTGCATCCTTACCGGAAGCGGGTGTCGCGGTTTGTTTCGGGAGTTTGGGCTTTCGGGTCGTGAGATAAAATATATATATTGAGGATCTCATTTCTGTTGCCGCGGGTCGCTATTATAGTTCGAACTCTGCACACTCGGGTCTTCAGTTTCCGGCTTTTGGTTTGGGGATGGGGATTAAGGTATTATGAGAACTCCGGTCCTCGAAGGCTCCAAGCCCGTTGCACTAGCATATCACACTGGCATAGACCTGTACTGAAATCAACCCCCTGCAAAGCTGGAACACCCAAAACACACAAGAGCTTTAAAGCCCCAACACGTCGACATCCATGCGATTTTGGCGCTTTCGGGCGTCCTCGAGCGATGCAGCTTGGCCAGGTTCTTCACATATGCGGACAGATATTTCGATATGTATATATATATATATATGTATATGTACATACGTCTTATATATACATATAGTGAACCCTATAGCAGTATATCCCTAACAGAAACTATATATAACTATAAGTTTACTGACTCGCAATGTGATGAGCTGGCTTGTGGGAGAGCCGGCTATCTTCTAGGCTGCAGCACATATTGTAAGTCCAGCCAGTTGCACCAGTTGTAAGCAGCATCCAGACTGCCTTGAAAAACCAGATTGCACCAGATCCTGTGCTGCTAGAAACCAGCAGTGCACCAGTTGCAAGCAGTGTCCAGGCCGCCTTGAAAAACCAGAAGTGCACCAGTTGTAAGCTGCTGCTGCTGTGCAATTTTAAGAACCAGTTGCAACACCACAGCATCCAGTGCTACCTTTTGGCTTTGACCCGAAGATAAAACCTTGTCATGCACCTAAACTCTAGCAGCTGCTTCGGTGCTTGAACACACAATTGCTTGAAGACCCCCACGTAGTCTTCATCGAGAAAAGTGTGGTAGCTCCTGCTGTTGAGGAGCTCCCTTCGTTGATCTTCGACAAGGTGAAGTAGCGTATGGAATTTGGGGACCACCTTCCATCGGGGGATTCCCCTCCGATGGCTCTGCAGAACCAGCAGCTGGTACAACTTCAAGAAGAGCTGGACTGAATCGTGCATTGTATCGGCCTGCTCGATTGTCAGCTTGCGCGGTGAGCGCTCGCACATGTCCAAAAAGGCACAAAGTGCCGTGGAGCAGGAACAGGCGAGTGTCAGCTCCTTCTTCAAACCATCATCCAAAGCATTGCTGGTGGCCAGGGTAGCACGCAAGACGATGTTGAAGTACTGGAAGAAGAGGCGACCGTTGTATGCTTTCAGGTTAAGGCAAGGATATGCCTGTCCTTCATAGGACATATTTCCAGCAGTCAGGGTCGCTTGCGAATGCCTCATGCTGATTTGGTTTGAGGCTGCCCATCTCTCGATCGATCTCGATCTAGATATAATATATGATCTCTGGACAATCTGTTAATTAGGGATGATTTATGTGTTGATCAGGGGCTTCCTTGTAACTAACTGGTGTTTAAGCAGCTCAGATCGAGTAATCTTAAATATGTTGCAATCATGATCATCCAAGCTGCCGCAGCTGATTCGCTGACGCCCACTGCTTGAAGCGGGAGCAGAGAATGATCATCTTCTCGGGCATCTTCAACCCCGGTTCACCAAACCAGCCTCATGATCGCTGCTCGGAGGTGCTGTTGGCATTTTCTGTACCGTTACTACTAGGCGGCAAAAATTATAGATTGCCCAAATTACATCGAGATTCCCAGCTCCTCCAAAAGTGTGAAAGCTGACCCGTTGAACAGCTGGAGCACCCCCAGGTGCACCGTATGCATCAGACAGATGCGGACAAAACCAGGTCTGAATCCAAAGCAGCATATCAATGGATTTGCAGGTCGCCTCGCCGAAAAAAAACCTTAAGCCCTAAAGCCCCGGCTGGTTTTGCCTGAACCTCTCTCGGGTTTAGGGAAAAGGCTATATAGGAATAGGGTTTTAAGGTTTAAGGAAATCGATCAAAAAAACCTATACCCGACTACGACCGTGTATATATATATATATATATAGATATTAATTATTGTTATTATAAATCTGAGGAAGTGAATGCCCTGCTATATATATATAATAAATATATAATATATTTATTATATATATATTTATTATATATATATATAGCAGGGCATTCACTTCCTCAGATTAAGTGTAGAGGTTGATTGCATCCGTGCGGCTTCATCTGGCTGGAAATGATATCCACAGGGTTTCGGCGCTGGAATTCCCGGGTCAGATTGGTCTTCCACCTTTGTTCAAGGATCTTTCGGATTCGAGATTGCACAAGAGCCGGGTTCTTGGTCCTAGAGCAGCACACACAAACATGCATGTACATTGCTCGACCCTAAAGGTTATCCCCAATGCCTGATACTTGCATCAAACTATTTGTAGTTTCGTCCTGATCTGCAGATTAGGCACGAAAGATTGCCACGCGATTGTGCTACACAGCAGTGGCAAATATTCGTAGAAGACCATCCAGGGACATACCGCATGAATTCTCGATGCCACTTCCAGTCTCCACGGAGTTCAAGCAGCACATGCTTCCCTCCTCAGGGATCATAGAGTAGAAGCCCGAACGTTGGAAACCCAATAGCCATTAAGAATATTGAATATATATATATATATATATATATGAAATATCCCAGCACTATTTAATCCGGTTAGCACGAAGCACCCCAAACCTATGCAAATAGAATCCTGTTCGGCTAAAGCTTTGAGATATTAAGGATCCGCCTCGAATGCAGGACCAAGCATTGTGCAACCGGCATTGAACCTATATGTGCTTATGTACTATGTATATACATATACACAGTAAAAGCCAGAAATATGAATATTCTAAACCCTTTATGGTAAATTTTAAGCTACCCTGAAACCATATTCCAACTTTCTGGAGTTCCCTTATAGCGATACTGCTACAAATCCGAGGCCTGCGATGGGAGACCCTGCCCTGGACCGGCCGCGAAAATCTTGGCCATCAGCACCCAGGCGTGGGTGAAGTCCAGTAGACAGAACATCGATGCTCCAGCGGAGCTGCTGCAGAACCGGTTCGAGCGAATCAAAGCCCAGGCTAATGAATTCCCGCAAACAAAATAGCGGGTAGCGCTGCTGGTTCTGTCCTGGGTGTTAGCATGGGGCTTGTCCGTACACTATCTCTGGAAATTATATACACTAGCACAGGATTTTGCAAGTAATTACTCGTACTTGTTGTCGGCCTGGTTCCATGGTATGCAACTATCATCACATATATATATATATATATATATATAATTATTGCTACTAGTAGCAGCCTAGCCGCTGCCGGTGTCACGGGCGAGGATCAGGTTCAGTGTCACGATGATTACACGATCTCCGGCATTGTTGTAGCGACCGTCGTCTCCATGTATGCCGATTGGCATGTAACCATACCCAGGGTGGACACCTGCCCAATTCTGGTGGGCAGCGAGGTGCTGCCAGTAGCCATCCACAATCTCAGTTGAGATTTCCACCTTCTTGGATTCCTGAGTAGCACGAGGCTACCAAGTTAAGTAGCGGGACACGGGTGCATACAAGGTAGCTATAGGATATTTTTGTAAATCTATATTAATCTTATATATATGTATATATAGATACTTGAACACTGCTGCTAGCCCCGACCCCTTTACCATGCCCGAGCAGATACCCTAGACCCTAACGGTTCAGGTTTATGGGTTTCGTTTAGAATTTCTGATTATTATATTTCAGTTCGAGGCCTTTGGGTTTCAGGGTTTAGGGTTGCTGGATTCGAAATTGCCGGGCTCAGGGTTTCTGGGAATCTGGGTTTAAACTGTCTGGGTTCAGGGCCTGACATAGTCGAAGAAGTCCAGCTTGCTTTTAAAATGAACCCTGTCGCCTATTTGAAAGAACTCGAGCTTAAACCCTAGCCCCAAACTCCAAGTCAAAGCTGCCCACTGCGAAAACTGAGATCAGGTGGCCTTGCTGGGGCGATGTGGTTGCAAGCAGGACCGAGATCTGTGTGATTGCAGACTAGCGGCATGCAGGTAATGTATCAATTCGTGTGGTAAGACATAAGGCAGACGTAGTGTCGTCCTCGTGCTTCTGTCGATGGCATCCAATACGGGGATCTCAATAAATCGAATCTCCTGAGATGGCTGATTGGATGTGCAGGCTAGGATTGGGATTTTGACAGACATATACTCTAGCTAAAAGCTGTACTAATTTGAAATTGAGACGGAACCCTGACCCAGAATCCCAACCCTATTTACCCTACATCCCTCAACCAATCGACCCCATATATAGGTGCTGACACCAGGGATCCACCGGAAGCTTCAGCGCTTTGCATATATCCCTTTCGCAGTTATTGGGGTATTTACCCCAGTTGCCACTCTTGGCAAACAAGTACGTTTCAGTCGAGCAGTGCGCTTTGCTCTCTTGGTACATGGCTAACGCCGCCTGCTGCAGTCCAGAACAAGATGTAGCCTTGGCTTCCGTGTACATTATAAGTTATATACATGCAATTATTGCAATCAGCATTAAATGCCAATACTCGAGATGCGTACTGGAGGCTCCACTGCCCAGTGAACGCAGTAGGTGATCTGCAAAAGCTGTAGAGGCATCGTCGTCTGCGCGGCAGGGATCGGTTAACTGTGATAATATATTGGGCCTGGTATCGGGGCCTCGATGCTTAAGATTGTTACAACAACCGCACTCTGCAGTGGCCAATCTCATGATCACTATCCTCGATTTTTCACTCTTGTGCGATGCACGGCAGAAGCATGGATCTGGCTGAAACAAGGCACTAGAATCGCTAGAAAACCTGCAGCCACAGCTAACTTTAAACACAAAGCAGTGTTGACAAGGAGGCATCCTCAAGCAACATATATGTAGTGTATGTATATATATATATATGAACCGGACAAGAAAGTCTATGCTATGTACCCAGCACAACACAGTCAAATGTACCAGTGCATATATAGGGAAGCATGTCACGAATCAACATTAAGTTGACGAAGCAAAGCTCAAGGATGCCTCGAACACTGGCAAGATTGATTTCCCTTTGCTGCATGCACTCAGTTGGTGCTCGGCAACATATACTACTTGAGCACGTGGTGAACACCCCCTGAAATCCTGGTAGTGTGAAGTGTTGCGGTTGTTCTTGTCGTATATATATATATATATAGAGAGAGAGAGAGAGAGAGAGAGAGCAATCTTATTTGTAGTAGCAGTGGTGGCAGCAGTGGTCGTCGTCGTAGTAGCACTATTACTAGCAGTAGCAGGGCGAAATAGAAGTAGCATGAGCAGTAGCAGCAGCAGGAGTATACAGTAGCCCTAGTATAACGTAGTATACTGCAATACGGCAACCATAGCAGCAGCAGCAGCAGTAGTATTAGTAGTATAGTACTATAGTAGTAGTAGGTATACACTAGCAGTGGCACAACCGGAAGTATCCTCAAACCTGGCCCTAAACCCCAATCGGAAGGCCAAAACCGACGAACCCGAAACCCGAACACCCAAACCCCCTAAAGCCTGAGCCCCTAAGCCCTAAATCTAAGGGATATAAGGTCACCACACCCTCAAAGCTGGCTTCATTTGCACACTCCCGATTCTCTTCACATGGCCAGGATGTCCCCTGGCTGGGTGGCGCAGATCGCCGCAGTGGCCTTGCATAATTAAGGGATGTTGGGTTTAAGTGGCGGTTCGGGGTATGGGTCTCGGGATATTTAAACAACTTCGGAATAGTCAACGGTGATGCTTTCCCCAACTCCAGGCTTACCCTAAATCTGGTGTTAGGGTTTAAAGTTTTGGGTTGGTGCAGGGGTGTTAAAAATCGAGGCGACCCTATATATATATATATATATATATATATATATGAGTGTATATATAATATAAACCCTAAACCCTAAGCCCTAAACCCTAAACCCAAACCGTAATCCCTAAACCTATATATATATATATATATATATATATATATCGAGATTTCGGTTTGACGGCCTAGAGAGTCAGGCTTCCTAGTTTTCACGATTTGGGTTCTTGCTTTAGGGGCTTTGTGGTTTCGATTCTGCTTGGAATGCCTAGGCCTATTAGTTATACTCGGCATATGATCCGATACTTGTGGGATCGTGCACGCATCGAGCATAACGTCTTAAAGCACAGCAAGTGCTGTACAGCTACTCAACAGGGTACTTCAAGTTGATTGAGCGACTCGGGTAAAGGTCCAAATATGTTTCAAGCATGGGTTGCGACGCCGTGGCTTCAGTACTCGCACTATTATAAATTAGGTTCGCTCTTTTTCTGCGATGGTGCACACACTACACCGAAACGTGGATCGCAGGCATCCCGCTCTGCATGAAATCATCTATATATGTAGGCACAGCACATATGCATGTACACACGGAATCACGAGAAGCCTAGCATGTCATTTACATGCATATAATATGGGTACTAGAGCAGGTTCAGCACATACTCGAATCCACGTACACGCCCCGGCAGAGCCTAGTGCTCAGCGCTCAAAACCCAGATCCACCTACGAGCTAGAAGGCCTCGCCACAGTTTCATCTCCAAGCTCCAGTTTTATGCTAAAAGCCGAACGAGGCCTCCAGCTTAAAATTTCTCAGATCTGTCCATGACATGAAGATGTCCCTACACAAAAACTTTCGGTGCCTACGGGGCAGCTGCCTTGCCTTTGGCTTTCGGTGCAGCTTTAGCCTTAGCCTTTTTTTCCTTTGGCTTGCTGCAGTGAACACGGACGTGCTTTGCAGCTTCCTTGTACAAGCTGTTTGCATTGTTCAATCGAAAGACCCTTGGCCCCATTTCACTTTCAGGCATCGCTTGGGCCACCGCAACCTGCAGAGATAGAGTGCACGTGTGAGAGAGTGATGATGAGAGACTGAGAGAGTGAGAGTACAGAGAGACGTGACTTCGAGAGAGAGATAGAGATCTAGAGAGAGAGAAAGAGTCACAGATTGGAGGGAGAGAAGAGAGAGAGAGAGAGAGAGAAAGCGAGAGATAGATATAGATATAGATATATATATATATATATATAACCCCAAATTGGACCCCGGAGCCCTACAACACACGGGACTACACTATAGTATTGTGGTTATGGCTTTACCTGGTCGTACCTCTACGGCATCCCTCTTCTCGCGAAGCTCCTCTCTCTGAGCAATCATGCCCTGCACAAGCGCGTCGATGAGGTGCCGATCCCTGCATGACATCGAGCACTGCTGCGAGGACCCGGTGTCTACAGGTTCAATCCAGGGTTTAAGGGAACGGTAAAACTTTAGCCACGGGACACTCCGTTTGCCGCCAGCTGATGCTCAAACCCGCTGATCTCCAACATGTTGGAGTTGGCCAAGACCATGGCCTCGGATAAAGCAAGGGTTGTAGAATTATCGGTCATTCAACCTGTAGGTATACATAGCTAGGTATCTACATATAGATGCTGATCCTGTCAAGTGGCGGCTTTGGCTTGCTGAAGCATCGTTTTGGGCTTGGGAATCGGTTTCGGCTTATCCGGATTGGGTGGCGGCGGCAGCGAAGTATCGGCGATAGGGCCCGAGGCGTCCCCAGACCTTTCCGTAAGAATGGTTCGGGAGCTGCGATCATCGTCCCTCTCCAACGTTGTATCCCAACAACGATAAATGCGGATCTCCTGTGAGCCGTATACAGGGTTTAGGGTGAAGGGATTAGGGTTCAGGGATACGACACATGCAACATTCGATAACATGTAGCAGTCTGTCCTCATTTTCAGGATCGTCGGGATTTTTCATCCACATATTGTCATCTTTCTCCTGCATCGGAAACTTACATCCCCAAACTTTTAAAAATCAAGACCCGACCCTAAACCTGCACCCTGAAATCCCGTCATGCCTTCTCTGACACGATCTTCGCTGCTGTCTCTGCACCGTACTTGGCGATGAGGTCCTGTAAAATTAAGGAGGTTTTAAACTTGGGGTTGAGGGCGTTCATGAGCTATCCTTCTTCATCATCCACACACGCTGAGTTCGAACCGTGGTAGACGTGCTGGATTCAGCCCTGGCCACGATCTCCGTTTCACCCCAATCTTCGCCGGCAAAGACGAATTGTCGGAAGAGCTCGTTGAGCTTGAAACGGTTCATCCTTCCTCGCCCAAATATCATGGCATATTCGGGATTTAGCTTTCGTCCTTTTGGGCTTACTTGGAGGCCCTTTTGACTTAGTAAGTAGGGTTAGTAAGGTGGGTTATGGGGCTTATAATAGGGTTTCTAGGGGATACTAAGTACACTTACTAAGTCAAAAGGGCCTCCAAGTGGGGGCCTAAGCTCCGGGGCGAGTGATATTGGCGTAACGATATATATATATATATATATATACACCTGCTATATATGTATGCGTATATATACATATATATATATACATAATTATATTTCACCCTCAAAGCCTTCCCCTTAAGAGACTGAGCCCACTATTATATATATATATACTACATTTTATTTATCATGTTTATCTAAGCCAAGAGTCCATTGGCATCCCGGCACTTTTCGTGTGCCTCTTTCACGGCAGCCGGGCAAGCAGCACCTGAATTGCACTGCAGGAGTACAGCTCATGCAGTTCACGAGCAGTACGACATCAGAGAGGCGTTCCAGGGCTGTACTATTTGGAGGGCCGGTATTATAGTGGCATTTCGGTGTTTTGGTTAGGTTTTTTGGCTTACAGTTTAGGGTGTACGAGATTCTAGACATTGCAGGAGCAGAGGGGTACATATCCGGGCCACACTCAAGTCTGGGGTGCTTAGGTTTGTATTCTAAACTGAATCAAACTTGAAATCCCGGGTTTAGTATTTTGGTGTTTGGTTTTGGGCTTGAAGGTTTCGAGGTTTAAGGGTTTCGTATCATGCTCACCCCAGGCAGGCAAGGCAGGGGTTTGAGGGTTTAGGGCTCAGGGTAGTATATATAGCTATAGCTATAATAATACATATATAGAGGGGAAAGCCAAGCCACTGTCCATGCTACGGCTGAAGCGCATCCATTGGTTGCGCCTCAGCTTTCTCTCCTGCGACATCAGTTGGGGTTGGTTCTTCTAAGCATATATAATATATAATATATAGCCTATAATATATATATATATATATATTAATATTTATATATATATATAATAATTGTATATTGTCCAACGATGGTCCTCTGCGATGCCCAGCTTGTTTTCCTCATCCGCTGCGTCTGCTGCTGCACTCGGTGGCCGGGCTTCCTTCTGCGATCGTGGGTCCGATGTGGCTTCCTTCTGTGCTGGGTCCGATGCGGCTTCCTTCTGCGATGCTGTGGTCGATGCGATTTCCTTCTGAGCTGTGGTCGACGGGGCTTCCTTCTGCGATGCTGTGGTCGATGGCGCTTCCTTCTGTGCTTCTGATCTTTTCGGCGATCCTGCCACAGACGGTGCTGCAGCCGGCGTACCCGGCACGGAGGATCCAACGGATGGCTGCGGTGTCGTCGGCCCCTGAGCTTGAGCAAGCATCTTCGTGAAGTCCACAGACTCCGGTCGACGAAGCAGCTGCTCAAGAGCCCCACTCTGCGATCCGGTGCCTCCGTCATTTGCATGTGCTGCTTTCACCATCGCCTTGAGCCACTCCATAGCAGCCTCTGGCACTGGTGGTGCCACAACTGCATCTGGCCTTGCTGTCGGATCCTGCTGCTTCGATGGCTTCTCCGTCGGATCCTGCTGCTTCGATGGCTTCTCCGTCGGATCCTGCTGCTTCGATGGCTTCTCCGTCGGATCCTGCTGCTTCGATGGCTTCTCCGTCGGATCCTGCTGCTTCGATGGCTTCTCATCCGGATCCTCCTGCTTCGAGGGCTTCTCATCCGGATCCTGCTGCTTCGAGGGCTTCTCATCTGGATCCTGCTGCTTCGAGGGCTTCTCATCCGGATCCAACTGCTTCGAGAGCCTCTCATCCGGATCCAACTGCTTCCAGGGCTCGAGGTTGTCGGAATCCGGCATGAACGTATCCTCTGGAGGGTCGGGCTGGGTCGCCATCGAAGTTTGGAAGCTATCCTGCGTTCGAACAGGGCCCATAAGTTTTAGGGGTAGCCTAGTCGTCGTAGTAGTAGTAGTAGTAGTAGTAGTAGTAGTAGTAGTAGTAGTAGTAGTAGTAGTAGTATGTAGTAGTAGTAGGGGTAGTAGTAGTAGTAGTAGTAGTAGTAGTACTACTACTACTACTACTACTACTACTAGTAGTAGTAGTAGTAGTAGTAGTAGTAGTAGTAGTAGTAGTAGTAGTAGTAGTAGTAGTATACTACTACTACTACTACTATTACTACTACTACTTCTGCTACCATTACTACTACAAAGTAGTAATGGTAGCAGAAGTAGTAGTAGTAGTAGTAGTAGCAGCAGTAGTAGTAATAATACTATATATATATATATATATAGATATAGAGTTTTGAGTCCAGCTGGGGCACGAACCGGCTTACTCAACAAGATCTAGAGAATTGCTTACACTTGTAGTAATAACTATATCGACAATTCGATCCCTAGCAGGGCCTGAAGAACTCCTTGAATTATAGGTCCCACAATTCGATGCCTAGGGTTTAACCCTTGCTGTGCAATTATCGGACTTCTAGACATATATACACACATAACCACCCCGAGCTCTACGAGCCAAGCACCGCGAGTGTTGAATCCAGCTGGGGCATGAACCGGCTTACTCAACAAGAACTAGAGAATTGCTTACACTAATTATATCGATAATTCGATCCCTAGCAGGGCCTGAAGAACTCTTTGGATTAATTCTAGATCCCACAATTCGATCCCTAGGGTTCAACCCTTGCTGCCCACACTAGTACTATCGTACCTCTTCGTCTTCGTCCATCACCGCCAGGATCTGCATCTGCAGTCGGGGTAGGATCCGCTTATATAAGCTTGCTTGAGGGATATTGGCTTGACTAGGTCTTGGCTAGCCTTTGAGGGTATGCAGATTGCACGACTGATATCAATATATTGAAGGTGTCTGTGCTAAAGTATATTATTATACTGCTATGGTGTATCGAAACCAACCATGTAGCTGCAGTCTGGCCTCCAGCTCCCTGCTAACCTGATCGATCAGCGACTGCTGACCATCCTCGGTCGCATCCTCATAGCTTTCCATAGAAGCACCCTTGTTCAAGCCGGCCATTTCCCGAGCCTGATTCAAGAACATATATATATATATATATATCTTTGCAGAGCCCAGAAACCCTATAAGCTTATGTGTAACCCCTGGCCGGGCCTTTCTCAAAGTGCCCGGAGTGTTTTCAACATCCATGGCCATACTCTCGGTGGAGGCTGCGGCGCGGAGATGCGGCCTCGCTGCGCTCGACTTCTGAGGCGTGGAACCTGGGAGTTTGAATATAATATTAAACTATACGTATGCTACTACGTATACTACGTATACTACTAGTACTACTAGTACTACTACTACTACTACTACTACTACTACTACTACTACTACTACTACTACTATAACTACTACTACTACTACTACTACTACTACTACTACTACTACTACTACTACAACACTAGGCTCCTACTACGACTACTAAAAGTTGCTAGTATATACTATAATAATATATATATATATATATATATATATGTACATAACCCTAAATACACGAAGACTTATAATAAGCTACTGCTACTACTGCTACATGCTATACTACTGCGACTAGAATTGAACGACTAGCTGCCTATACCTACCTACTTCGACTAGTGCTACTTCTACGACTATACTACGACTAATATTTAATCTACTTCTGCTTCTGCTGCTTATACTACACTATTAGTACGTATGCTATATACATATATATATATATATAGAGAGATAATACGGGCACTATTACTAGTACTACTATACTACTACTACGACGACGACTACTACATACTACTACTACTACTACTACTACTACTACTACTACTACTACTACTACTACTACTACTACTACTACTACTACTACTAGTACCACTACTACTACGTAACTACTACTACTACTACTACTACTACTACTACGACTACGACTACTACTACTGCTACTACTACTACACTACTACTACTTCTACTTCTACTATTGCTGCTACGTGCCTTGAAACCCGAGCACCTAAAACCTCAAACCCGAAGCCTATTATTTTAAATGCTATTAAAATTTAGAGGCCCTGCTAGGGGTCTTGGGCTTTAGGGCTCAGGAGTTTCGCTTTTGGGGTTGTGGGGGTGTTGGGTAGGGGTTTCGACGGCATATATATATATATATATATATATGCTATGCTACGGCCACTTTCGGAGGATGATTCTACTTCCAGGCCCAGCAATGATCGCAGTCCTTGTGCAGGTGTCGGTTTGGAATAGGGAGACTTGCAGAT